ACAGACCAGGGACCATGAGGGATCCCCACTGTCATCTCTAGCAAGGCACAATGCAAAGTGCACGTTGCGACAGCAGCCTTGGGTCAGGTTCAGGGGGCCCGCGAGCACTTTGCATCGTTCTAGTTTGACAGGGGCGGCGGGGGTGCCAGCACATGGCCTGCTGTGCACAGGCCACTATCCACACCAAAAACAATACAAACTGCATTTCGCGGCTAAGACTGGATCGTGCGCGGCCACCCTGCGATCACTGTCCATTGGTGTTTGACAGGGGCGGCTGCTGGAATATTGCCAGCTGTGTCCATGCCCACCAAGCATTATGATGGCCACTTCGCCGCGATCATACACTGTTTTTCGACAGTACCGGTGGGGGCCGGCATGTTTCCCGATGTGCGCGGGCGCACCTGGCACACTCTGCGCGTACCCCGAACGTGGCGCACCTGGCCAGGCCAGAGCATGCGGCACACTTAACGCACGTGGAGCACGTGGCACATCTGGCGCACCAGGCGTGCCTGGCTCGCTTGGGCCCCACGGGCGCCTGGCGCGCCTGGCGGTCGTGGTGCGTCTGGCACGCGTGGCGCATCGCCCCAGCGTCGCGCACCTGGGGCCTGCAATGGTTCCCAGTCGCTGTCCATCCAAAGACGGCTGCTGAATATGCTTCTTTTTGTTCACCGATCAGCTCGCACGCATGACAAGCGAGGCGACCGACTCTGCCTGTCCACGGCGGTGCTCTACGCCTTGGCCTTGGCGGTGCCCTGGCCATCTCCCTTGTGCGAGGTCGTCTAAGTTAGACGTCCCTGCCTTCCGCGGGCCACCACTGTAGAGGGGCCGAGCGGAGAAAGGCGAGAGAAGGAAGGAACTCCCTGGGAGGGTGGGCGGGCCGCCGTAAACTCAGCGAACTGGAGCCCAACGAATTCAGCGATTGATTCACCGCAGGCGAAACACGCCGGCAAGACGATCGCTCTGAGCGGGCCGGTGCTCGACATCGTAGCGGTGCGTTCCCCGTCCCGCCGCAGAAATGTGCCAGACTTCTTGCAGGTAAGATTATTGGGCCGCCAGGACACGCCGGCCCCGCTGCAGCTGAGCAGCCTGGCTCAGAACTCGTCGCCGTATCCTTCCTCCTCGCCCTCACCCTCGGCGGTCTCGATGCCGACCTCCTCGTAGTCTTTCTCCAGCGCGGCCAGATCCTCGCGGGCCTCTGAGAACTCGCCCTCCTCCATCCCCTCGCCGACGTACCAGTGCACGAACGCGCGCTTGGAATACATCAGGTCAAACTTGTGATCGATGCGGGAGAACACCTCCGCGATGGCCGTGGAGTTGCTGATCATGCAGCACGCGCGCATCACCTTCGCCAAGTCGCCGCCAGGCACCACGGTGGGAGGCTGGTAATTGATACCGACTTTGAATCTGGTAGGGCACCAATCAACAAACAATAAGCACCCGCGTGCGGGCCGCGCCGCGGCCTCGGGTCGGCCCTCCGGGGGGGATCTCGTTGACGCAGTAGAGACCCCCACTGCGTGCTGGATCTGTTACGGGGCGCCCATCCCGTAGAACCCCTTTCTGGATTCTGTAGCAGTTCGGAGCAGGCCAGGAGCTGTAACGGCAACCAGCGCGACGGTCCGCACATGGGCATTCCTGTAGGCCGGAGCTTTATAAGGCACTCCCACATGTAGGTCGGCTGGCCCACCCACCTGTCAGGCTGCGACCCGCGGGCCGGTTGAATTCCCTGCATGTCATTGGCCCCCCCGCCACTGCCTACGCGGTAGCACGAGCACCGAGAATCCCGAAGCTGGGAACACCCCGGGCACCTCGTCAGCATATGGCCCCGGTCAGCAGACAGTCCCTCGTGCGAGGTACTTCTCCAGCCCAGAGCCACGCCCGCCAGAGCCTCGTTAGCCGCGTCAACCACGTGCCGTTGGCGCCCTTCCACCCCGGAGGGTAGCCCGCGAAACCTCCGGCGAGCCGGAGGGGGCGGGAGAGGCTGCCACAGCGCCGTGGGATCGTTCCCGCTCCCCGCCAGACTTTCGTCGGTAGGTGAGGTTGGACTTTCGGCAGCAGTGTGGCAAGGACATGGGTACAGCCACCTCCGAGCCTCCCCCTGCCGGGCCGCGGCCGTAGCCGCAGCCGGGGAGCCCAATCAACAAACTGAATTGTGCGCTTCGTCTTGATCGTGGCAACCGCTGCGTTCACGTCCTTAGGCACCACGTCGCCACGATACATCATGCAGCACGCCATATATTTGCCGTGGCGGGGGTCGCACTTGACAAACATGGCAGAGGGCTCGAACACGGACATGGTGATTTCGGCCACAGAGAGCTGCTCGTGGTACGCCTTCTCGGCAGAAATCACTGGTGCGTAGCTCGAGAGCATGAAATGGATGCGCGGGTATGGCACCAAATTCGTCTGGAACTCAGTGATGTCCACGTTGAGCGCGCCGTCAAAGCGCAACGACGCCGTCAAAGAGGATATGATCTGGGCCAGAAGCCTGTTCAAGTTCGTGTAGGTGGGGCGCTCAATGTCAAGGTTTCGCCTGCAAATATCGTACAACGCCTCGTTATCGCAACATTATAGTGATGTCCGTGTGCTCCAAACAAAAGAATGTACGCACAGAACAGTGTTTGTAAGGCTCCACGGACCGCCGTGTGCGATCATGCGGGCATGCACACACCGTGGAATGAGACCTTGGTCTTCTTGCCGTAGTACCACCGACAGACGCTCCGCAATTCAGGCAGGCAGAGCACTGAACCGGTGCCACCGCCGACTGACGTTGGTAGATACATGAACCCCCTGGAGCCCCGAGCAGTTGTCGGCAAGCTTCCGAATGCGATCCAGGACCAGATCGACAATCTCCTTGCCGATGGTGTAGTGGCCGCGCGCAAAATTGTTGGCCGCATCCTCCTTCCCAGAGATCAGTTGCTCGGGGTGGAAAAGCTGGCGGTACGTACCTGTGCGGACCTCATCGACCACGGTGGGCTCAAGATCCACCATCACACAACGAGGAACGTGCTTCCCAGCACCCGTCTCAGAGAAGAATGTATTGAAAGCGTCGTCGCCGCCCCCAATTGTCTTGTCGGACGGCATCTGCCCGTCAGGCTGGATGCCATGCTCGAGGCAGAAAAGTTCCCAGCAAGCGTTGCCTATCTGAACGCCTGCCTGGCCGATGTGGATGCAAATCGCCTCACGCATGGTTGCGAAAACTGTCTGGACAGGCGGGTGGCTTGGAGGAGAAGCTGCAGGAAGACTGCCGCGGAATGTGGCGGTCTCACTTTTAGACACCTGAGCCAAAATGGCTACGGAACGGCCGCTGAATGTGCTGGGTACTACTTCTCATCATGTGTACTTGTCGAGGGAGGGCGCGGAGGAGGAAAAGGAGGGGAGCGCAAGGGGGGGGAACGAGCAATGGAGGGAGAGGGGGGGAGGAGGAAGGGGGTAGGCGCGATGGCGCCATATCTGCCATCCTACCACGTCCACCGATGTATGATCATTGCGCTGAATTCGTTTCTATCCGGCGCCTCGGGTGTCCTAAACAACCCTGATCCTCAAAATGACCCCATCGGGTGATGCTCAATCAGAAAGGGGGCTTGTACAGTGGACGTAGAGAAGGATGAGGAGGAGGAAGTGGCGGATAAGCAGGAGGAAGGGCGGGACAATGAGGAAGGAGGAGGAGCAGCAGCAGGAGCAGGCGCAGGAGGGGCAGGAAGACCAAGGAAGGGCGGAGGAGGGAAAAAGAAAGAAAGGTTGGATCCATAAAGGTGGCCCGCGCTGGAGCGAGAGCGCAAATCTGAACGACGGGAGCAAATATGCAGCCAGTGCTGCAGTGGAACCGAGAAATCACCATGTCGAACACCAACTCTGGACAATTCTGTGTAAAAGAGCAAGCAGAGTACGCGGGGGAAAATGAGAACACCATCAGGGGAGAAAGGAGAGTAGTACTCAGATTGGATGATTGTGGAACTAACGAGGATGCAGTGAGGAGAAGGGGGGTGCGGGAGAGGAGAAAGGAGGAAAAGAGGAGAAGGAGGAGAGAGGGAGGACGGGGAGGAGATGAGGAGAAGCAAGGAGGAGGAGGGCGAGAAGGAAGGAGGGGGAGGGAGAAGGGCGGAGTGAAGAGGACCCCCTGAACCTCAAAACCATGTAGAGCCCCGTAAGATGTCCTGAACCGTCCCTCCCTCCCTCCCTCCCCCATCCTACTCCTCCTCCTCCTCATCCTCCTCCTCCTCACCCTCTAGGATGGAAGGCCGGATGGAAGGAAGAAGGCCGAGGAGGCAGGAGTCCGGCGACGCATGCTCGGTTGCGCGTCGCTCTACATCCCGTCAGCTGCGCCAGCTCTCCCTGGCACGTCGTCCCCCTTTTCTTCTTCCCTTCTCCTTCGTCCCACCACCACCACCACCATCATCTCAGCAGCAGCAGCAGCAGAATTCCTGCGTCCTTACTCCAGATCCTAGCCAGCCATGATCATCATAACAGCATCAAGTCATCAGCAGCAGCATCAACACACCGCACCACAAATCATCAACATCAGCATCACCAACAACTAGCACACATCATCCACGATTTGTCAGCGTCATCACACCACCATCACCCATCATCGGCCGATCATCAACTCCTCTTCCCGTCTCCTCCTCCCACAATCAGCATCCTCATCATGATCAGCATCATCATCAGCTGCATCAGCATCAGCATCCGCATCAGCATCAGCATCATCATAAGCACCCTCATCATCATCAGCAGCAGCATCAGCATCATCATCACCATCATCAACGATAACAGCATCATCACCGTAGTCATCCTCCTCCTCATCAGCATCATCAGCATCACCATCATCATCATCATCATCATCATCCTCATCCTCATCCTCATCCTCATCATCATCATCATCATCATCATCATCATCATCATCAGCATCATCATCATCATCATCATCATTACAATCATCAGCAGCATCATCAGCAGCATCACCACCATCCGAATCGTCGTCGTCATCGGCATCATCCCCATCCACACCATCATCACCATCATCATCGTCAATCATAGCTCCGGTTGCCCCCCCACCGCTTTCCCTGGATCTGGACTGGACGAGGAGAGGCCGACGCGTTGGAGAGCCCAGCGTAGCCCAAGATGGCTCCAAGAGGGCTTCGTGTGGCCCAACATGACCTGCAAGATGAATCGGCATAGCCCCCTCCCAAGGCTCAACATGCTCTCCCACATGCCCCAAAAGGCCCCAAAGGCCACCCCAAGACGGCTCCAGGTGGTCGTGGGGCTCTGAAAAGAAACCCGCCCGCCGCTCAAAACTGCCCCGCACTGGACCCACATCCTCCCACCGCCTTCACAGGAAGTATCACAGTGATGAATATCGCTTCAGCCCTTCAGGGCACAGGTGGTGAGGAGTTTACCCCTCGTCCTGGGGAGGGCGGGCGGGAGTGAGCGAGACAGCTGCGGCGGTCCTGCTGGGAACTCGAACCATGCTCCTTATCAGTATACACCCCCTCCCCCACCCAACCAGAGACAGACCAGGGACCATGAGGGATCCCCACTGTCATCTCTAGCAAGGCACAATGCAAAGTGCACGTTGCGACAGCAGCCTTGGGTCAGGTTCAGGGGGCCCGCGAGCACTTTGCATCGTTCTAGTTTGACAGGGGCGGCGGGGGTGCCAGCACATGGCCTGCTGTGCACAGGCCACTATCCACACCAAAAACAATACAAACTGCATTTCACGGCTAAGACTGGATCGTGCGCGGCCACCCTGCGATCACTGTCCATTGGTGTTTGACAGGGGCGGCTGCTGGAATATTGCCAGCTGTGTCCATGCCCACCAAGCATTATGATGGCCACTTCGCCGCGATCATACACTGTTTTTCGACAGTACCGGTGGGGGCCGGCATGTTTCCCGATGTGCGCGGGCGCACCTGGCACACTCTGCGCGTACCCCGAACGTGGCGCACCTGGCCAGGCCAGAGCATGCGGCACACTTAACGCACGTGGAGCACGTGGCACATCTGGCGCACCAGGCGTGCCTGGCTCGCTTGGGCCCCAGGGGCGCCTGGCGCGCCTGGCGGTCGTGGTGCGTCTGGCACGCGTGGCGCATCGCCCCAGCGTCGCGCACCTGGGGCCTGCAATGGTTCCCAGTCGCTGTCCATCCAACGACGGCTGCTGCATATGCTTCTTTTTGTTCACCGATCAGCTCGCACGCATGACAAGCGAGGCGACCGACTCTGCCTGTCCACGGCGGTGCTCTACGCCTTGGCCTTGGCGGTGCCCTGGCCATCTCCCTTGTGCGAGGTCGTCTAAGTTAGACGTCCCTGCCTTCCGCGGGCCACCACTGTAGAGGGGCCGAGCGGAGAAAGGCGAGAGGAGGGAGGAACTCCCTGGGAGGGTGGGCGGGCCGCCGTAAACTCAGCGAACTGGAGCCCAACGAATTCAGCGATTGATTCACCGCAGGCGAAACACGCCGGCAAGACGATCGCTCTGAGCGGGCCGGTGCTCGACATCGTAGCGGTGCGTTCCCCGTCCCGCCGCAGAAATGTGCCAGACTTCTTGCAGGTAAGATTATTGGGCCGCCAGGACACGCCGGCCCCGCTGCAGCTGAGCAGCCTGGCTTAGAACTCGTCGCCGTAGCCTTCCTCCTCGCCCTCACCCTCGGCAGTCTCGATGCCGACCTCCTCGTAGTCTTTCTCCAGCGCGGCCAGATCCTCGCGGGCCTCTGAGAACTCGCCCTCCTCCATGCCCTCGCCGACGTACCAGTGCACGAACGCGCGCTTGGAATACATCAGGTCAAACTTGTGATCGATGCGGGAGAACACCTCCGCGATGGCCGTGGAGTTGCTGATCATGCAGCACGCGCGCATCACCTTCGCCAAGTCGCCGCCAGGCACCACGGTGGGAGGCTGGTAATTGATACCGACTTTGAATCCGGTAGGGCACCAATCAACAAACTGAATTGTGCGCTTCGTCTTGATCGTGGCAACCGCTGCGTTCACGTCCTTAGGCACCACGTCGCCACGATACATCATGCAGCACGCCATATATTTGCCGTGGCGGGGGTCGCACTTGACAAACATGGCAGAGGGCTCGAACACGGACATGGTGATTTCGGCCACAGAGAGCTGCTCGTGGTACGCCTTCTCGGCAGAAATCACTGGTGCGTAGCTCGAGAGCATGAAATGGATGCGCGGGTATGGCACCAAATTCGTCTGGAACTCAGTGATGTCCACGTTGAGCGCGCCGTCAAAGCGCAACGACGCCGTCAAAGAGGATATGATCTGGGCCAGAAGCCTGTTCAAGTTCGTGTAGGTGGGGCGCTCAATGTCAAGGTTCCGCCTGCAAATATCGTACAACGCCTCGTTATCGTACATTATAGTGATGTCCGTGTGCTCCAACAAAGAATGTACGCACAGAACAGTATTGTAAGGCTCCACGACCGCCGTGGCGATCTGCGGGCACGCCCACACCGTGAATGAGACCTTGGTCTTCTTGCCGTAGTCCACCGACAGACGCTCCAGCATCAGGCAGCCGAGCCCTGAACCAGTGCCCCCGCCGACTGCGTTGTAGATCATGAATCCCTGGAGCCCCGTGCAGTTGTCGGCAAGCTTCCGAATGCGATCCAGGACCAGATCGACAATCTCCTTGCCGATGGTGTAGTGGCCGCGCGCAAAATTGTTGGCCGCGTCCTCCTTCCCAGAGATCAGTTGCTCGGGGTGGAAGAGCTGGCGGTACGTACCTGTGCGGACCTCATCGACCACGGTGGGCTCAAGATCCACCATCACACAACGAGGAACGTGCTTCCCGGCACCCGTCTCAGAGAAGAATGTATTGAAAGCGTCGTCGCCGCCCCCAATTGTCTTGTCGGACGGCATCTGCCCGTCAGGCTGGATGCCATGCTCGAGGCAGAAAAGTTCCCAGCAAGCGTTGCCTATCTGAACGCCTGCCTGGCCGATGTGGATGCAAATCGCCTCACGCATGGTTGCGAAAACTGTCTGGACAGGCGGGTGGCTTGGAGGAGAAGCTGCAGGAAGACTGCCGCGGAATGTGGCGGTCTCACTTTTAGACACCTGAGCCAAAATGGCTACGGAACGGCTGCTGAATATGCTGAGTACTACTTCTGTGTTGGGAGCGCGGGTGGGAGTGATCCAAACAGTTTGCGTCTTGAAGAGGTGCCTTGATCACTGCTCCCTATTAATAAACACACCCTCCCCCAGGCGGCCGGCAGCCAACCAGGACCAATGCCAACACCCCCACCCCCCATCCCTGTCAAAAAACAATCCGAAGCACACCGTGGGGCAAAATCTTGGGTCATACCCGTGGACCCCGCGAGCACTTTGCATTATTTTGTTGACCAGGACGGCGGAGGTGCCCTTACAATAGCTGCTTTGCGCAAGGCCACCGTCCCTGTGAAAAAACAAGACAACATGCACTTCGCGGCCAAGTCTGGATCATGTGCGGCCACCCCGCGACTGTCCATGGGTGTCTGACATGGACCGCAGGCGTGCTGGCATATTGTCTGCTGTGCGCAAGCCCACCAGACACCACGATGGCCTCCCAGCCGCTATTGCGCACTGGTTTTCGACAAGGATGGTGGTGGCCGACATGTTTCCCGATGTGTGCTGTCACGTGCGCGGGCGCACCTGGCACACTCTGCGCGTGCCTTGGTCGTGGCGCACATGGCGCGGCTGGACCACGCGGCGCACACCGCGCAAGTGGAGCACGTGGCGAATCCAGCGCGCGAGGCGTGCCTGGCACGCATGGGCCCCAGGGGCGCCTGGCGCACCTGGAGCGCCTGGTACGCGGGGCGCACCTCGCTCCATCGCGCACACGGGGTCCCTGTTGGTCCCCAGCAGCTGCCCATCCATACACGACCGCTCAACATGCTGAGGCCGGGGGGCCACTTCTGTGTTAGGAGGGCGGGCGGGGGATGGGGGGTGAGCGAAGCAGCTTGCGGGCGGGGAGGGTGTCTTGATCACTGTTCCCTATTAGTAAACACACACACACACACACACACACACACACAGTCGAAAACAAGCTGGTAAGCTTAGGTATGTGTTACGCTTTAAGCGTTGCCATATCCCAGGCTTTGGCTCATATCGCATGAGCAAGAGAGCAAGACGAAGCATGGGATCTGGAGTAAAGGATAGAAGAGGCATCTTCAATGGAAAAGGTATTTTCCGATCTCAGATACCAGTCGTGCGCCTCGGTGAGGCACAGTCATATATTAGGCCGGGCCCGGCTTGAGCCAGGCACGGCAGCGGTACATGCTCGATATACCTCGCCTTTAACCTTCTCCGTTTAAAGTCGGAGGGGGAGGAGACGAGCAGGCACCGCACTTCTACATTACGCGGAAAAACAGTGCTAAGCAGCAGCGGCTGCCTACAAGGCAAGGGCGCGCGAGTAGCCTCGCTACCGGCGAGTTTCCTCGCTACTAGAGCGCACCTGCACGCGGGTTTCCCCGCTAGCTCGGGAGGCAGGGCCGTCCTGAGACGACCTGCCCGCCCTATGCGGTGTATGTTTCTTCAGCTCGTGCTTGAAGGATTGCTGGCCGGCCATTACTTGTAGGAGCAACGCGCGGTCAATGCTACCTTTGGTATGACCATCGGCAGTCATATCCCGCGTGTCACACCATTGAACGCTTTCAACGATTCCGCGCTCCATCATCTGGCGGATCCAGCTAATGTGCCCAAGCAGAGTACATTCTGTGGGCTTCTTCAGATCTTTGCTAGACAAAGACTTGAAGACAGACTCGGCATCAATAGTCAGAGTGACTTTGATACATAGACCACCCATTTCCAATATGTTCTTTAACTGTGTGGGGGTCAATGGTCCCGAGTGTAGCTCGTGGAGCGTTACAATGGTCGGGTAGCAGTCTTCCAAGTTGTGGGCTGCTGCCAGTGTTTCCGCAGAGTAGCTCGAACGCACCTGCAGTCGATGAGACTTGCAGTATGCGTCCACCAGGTGCACGACGGGTTTCCCCGCTTGCGTGTGGCCACGCCTCAGCAGGTTAGCCCCGCGGATACCATAGCCTTTGACTTCGTCGTCTTCATCTCCGTTGAGACGACGATAGCCAGAATCGCTATGCAGGTCAACTTCTCCTGTTGGAGTCATAGCTTGATACACGATCTTCTTCGGACCTGCCTGTAGTTTCCTGGTAACCGCGTTTAGTCGTCGTACCTGGATGTTTGTCGGTTCCTGGATACGTTGTAGTGAGACAACATAGACCATCAGCCATACCTGCGTGATCAACGCATAGGCTAGAGCGCCACGAAGACTGACGAACATATCAGAAATCGTCTTTGTCGCTTTGCTCTCAGGATCAGCTCCTGTGAGTTCTGGATGTGTGATAGGACGAAGCTGTTTGATGTATTCGTCCTGATCAAGAGTGACGCTCCCATCATCGGTCTTGTTGTACCGAACGGCACAGTTTGTGTATGTGTGCTTGTTCAGTTTGCACTTTCCAAACGTATCTTCAACACACTTGACATACTTGTCAATAGCATCTTCCTTCCCGGTCATATTGATGTCATCAACGTGTTTGGCTGTCAAGAGGTTTGGGCTCATCTCGAACTCTTCGTCGTATGAAGTAGGCTGTAGCCCAAAGCTCCTAGTGATGGACCTGAGCTTCAACGAGAATGCCCTGGGAGCATCCTTCGTGCCCGTCCCCGGCTTCAGACACCGAAGACAATGCTTTGATTCGTCATATGACTCAAAGCCTGGCAGTGTGCGAAGGACAGCTGCTGACCCAGGAGGTAGTGTGAAGCACACCACACGCTCTTTCTCGCCCGTTGCCGCGGCGAGCTCGCTATAGGTCAGTCCCTTCAAGAAAGCCATGTTGATGTCCAGGGAAGCGATGATCCAAGCTTTGTTGCATGCAGCAGAACTTGCGAGCAGTCTCTGGCTTGACCTCCTTGCCGTGCCAGAGAAGGCTTCGACATCAAAGGCTTCAAGGTCCATGAAGCCACGGAGTACCAAGCGTAACCTGATCGTCCTTTCCATTTCGCCCTTTTCGTTCTTGACAAACTTCCATTTGTATACGTAGCGTGAAGTCATGATGTTAGACGCTTTGCTCAAGTCAGTCATCTGGAAGCATTTGTTGTCAAGCCAAGTCTTCAATTCTGTGTAAAGGGCTTTGGAAACTTTGACCGGATTTGCTTGGATGTCGGCCTTCGTGAGTAGATCGTCTTCCTTGACGACCACGGCACGTTTGGAAGCAGCACTAACGTATACTCGCATAGTTGTGACGCTGCTGTCATCCAACAATCGGTGTTGCTGCTCGGACAGGACGACTTTGGACATGTCTGCTGTGAAGCAGAGCTCGATGTACTTCCCGTGCTCATCGGAGTCCAGATCATATTTACTGTCCGGATCCGTGGAGCATAAAGGAACGTAGTAAGAAGTGTCCATGTCGTATCCTGGCGGGTGACCCCGCTCCGGCAAGTGGCCTTGCACATCTTCACAGGTCGTAGAGACTAACACACACTGTGTGTCTGTCATGTATGTGGGAACTGCATGCATGACTTCTTCTGTGTCAGCTTCAAGGAGTGTTCTGTCATCCATCAGTTCAGCATACCACGACTTCAAGACAAAGGCATCCAGATCTTCTTCTGTTTCCTCTATGATGGTCGGGAGCCGACCATCGTTCTCCGTAGGAGGCTGCTCAGGAGCAGCTGCTGGAGGTGACTCGCTTGGTGGTGGACCATCAGCGAGTTCCTCAAACTTAGTGAGGTCTCGGTCAAATCCAGCAGACGGCTTCCTGGATTTAAGACACTGGATGATGCGTGAGTGTGTAGATCCTGTGATGTCGTAGATGTTCAAGGCAGTGCCATCAGCTTCATAGTAATGAAAACCAGGGGTCACATCATTATCATAGTGCACTAGTGTACAGCTGTCTGCATAGGGTGCAGCAGGCAACTTCGTCAGGCTCTTGGCAAGTCGTACAGCAACAACGTTTTCAATACGAAAGTAGTTGCGTATGAGGTACTGAAGAGCCAAGTGCACCTTAGGCGAAAGTCGGCTCGCAGCAGTCATCTGCAGCCGACCCTGTTTCGCTGGTAGATATCCGAAAGTCATGGCGGGTTTCCCCGCTGGCAGACCGGCAATAAAGGCCAATACTGTCCGAAGGGCCGTATTGTCCGATCCTATCTCGCGGACCATAAGTGCTTCGATGTACAGCGTGTGTCGTGTGTCAGGATACTGTACTCGCACCTCGCGACTACCGACCTTCACGATGACCTGGCCTCGGTCAGGTTCGTTGCGGATGACCGGGTATGGACCACTCCATCCACCCCAGTCGTCTTTCGTGGTGGTCGGGCGATGATAGTCCACGAGATCTCCCTCTTTGTAGTGAAATTCACCCGTAGCAGTAGTCTTCGTACGGAGAGCCCTGTTCGTCTTGGCAACCGCAGTGGCCTGCGTGATTGCCTCCAGACTAACCCTCCTGATTGTTTCCTCCCTTGTGTGATCTGATGATTCAGCGGACTGATCATGATCCAAGACAGGGAAATCGGGAAGCATAGCTGGTTGTCTGCCATACAGCGCATTGTACGGAGACACTTCATTGTAGAAGGTAAATGCGTTGCTGGCAAACAAGGCTTCATGTAAAAGACGAGTGAAATTCAGAGGAATATTTAATCTATTCAATTCTTCTCCCATCACGTGTATGAGGTGTCGCAGGATGCCGTTCCTAGCTTCGATAGTCGTGGCGTGTTGGCCACGCGCTCGGATACGAAGCTCTGTTCCCTTAGCCTTAAGGATGGCCTTTGCTGTATCGTTATTCAGTGCTCCTTCCCCATCGGAGTATAAGATTTTAGCAGGGCCGTGTTGCATCCAAGTTGTGTGATAGGCATCGAGAACAGTATGCATGGTCTTATCAGGAATCTCTGTGCCAGCTGCCCAGCGAATACAACGGTCGATGATGTGAAAAACAATATGTTCCTGTTTGTAAAAGAAAAGATCACATTCGACTTCCTCGTTGAAACGTCCTGGCAGTGACACAGAAGGCATCACCGTGTTGCCTGGTTTGTCCCAGGCTCGACATTCTCTACACGAGTCACAAATGCCTTTGATCAGACTCAAACGGGTTTCACCCAGACCAACCTTGGTTAGAATCATCCGCATTTTTGGCTCCTTGGCATGAAACCAT